GGCGGACAATATGGTGCCGGTTTCGGTGGCCAACAAGGTCATGGCAGCCATGGAGGTTACCGCCAACATGGTTATTAGATAAATACATTTATACGTATGCGTAGTATATATGATTAAGACTGGGAATATGATAATAAACAAAAATTACAATTCATAAGAAAAAGATATTGATTATTTATAGAATAGCTAACATTTTTCGATATCGTGTGAGTTTATATGAAAGGAAGCTTGGAAACAAAAGATACGTAAATGTACAACAACCTATCGGATTAAATTAAATATTTGATCTATATATATGTATATATATATATATAGCAATTTTTCCTTACAAAAATTCGTGTCAATCAGTCAGATTTGGGGTCAATGGTGTACCATGAAGCAAAATTATGTACGAAAGTCATATCGCTCATTCGCTGCAAGACCGGCATAAATCAAATCGTGATTTTTGCAGTATTGTTTCATATATCAGACTTCATATTGTGTATTGAGAAGCTATACAAGTTCCTCTGTCCATATATAAAGTGTGAGTAAATTGCATTTTTTGCAAAATTGATTTTTTTATTTATGACGGTCTTGCAGAAATTGAGCGATATGTTAATCTGTACCGATTTGAAGCACACTTCACATCATATTATACTGCAGCAATGTAGTGCAAGATTTCATCTAATTCGAACAATTTCATGAAATCGAACGAAAATATAAAGCAACTACATCTAAATATGAACCATATGTAAACTAATAACATTTCATTATAGACAGAAATAGAATTATACCGGATACCATTTAGACGAAATCTGAAAGTATGCGAACCGACATTGCTAATTTTTAGTACCGAAAAATGTTATGTCAAAACTATAATTTGTGGCAAAGAGATTTTCCATAACTTCGAAGACGTGGAGGGTGGAAAATCTCTTATGGGGATGAAAGATTTTGTCAAGTATATTATGAAGTCAGAAGGACAAATTCGGCAACTGTCAAGTTTTTCTGTGATGATTTTTTGCTGGTAATTCTAATATGCAGCTATTGCATATAGTGTATGTGATGACATGTCTTCAGTTAAATTACATGTGGAATATTTGGTTGTTGTTTTTGTTGACCTGTTATATGTTAATTCTTGTGGATTTTTGTTTAGCTATATGTCAATTGAAAATCTTTGGTTATAGTTTTTCCTTTTTATTTATTTTTATGTTCCAATATTTCGACTGTCTTCGGCAGTTATCTTCAGGGAAATAGGTTATGAAAAAAATCCACCGATTTTTATCACCGGGTATGCTAAATTGTAATTGTATGGAATGTTTTTGTAATACTTATTTTATCTCGAGTCCTTGTAACTCTTTATACCCTTCACCACACTATTATACTCTTCACGGGTATTATGTCTTTGTGCATATGTTTGTAACCGGCAAAAATTAAGGAGATGATACATGGTTCCTTTTGAGAATATGCATAGAATCACTTTCTCGAATTATGTATGTTCGTTCGTCCATCGGTCTGGCTATGTTAAACTGTAAACAAAGTACAGGTCGCATTTATGATCCGAATTGGATGAAATTTGGTACAGCTTATTTATTTGGGTCAAGGTCGAACCGTATTGAGATTGATAAAAATGGTTCAGATTTAGATATAGCTCCGATATATATTTTCGTAAATGGTGCACCAATGTGACTATATATCTTTCGATTTGCACGAAATTTGGCATAGCGTACTGAATTAAGTCTAAGGATGGGTGTTAAATTTCGTGAAAATCTGTTCAGATTTGGATATAACTCATATATATATATATTTCTCCGATTTTATGTAAGTGATGCACCAAAGACACAAAATATGGCCGATAGGCACACACCGTTCTGCAATTAGTATAACTTAGTCTGTGACAGATTTCGTTGCAATCGGCTAAGATTCAGATGCACACAATTTGCATATCTGAAATCAGTTTAGATATAGCTTACATTAATGTTTTTATCCGATTTTACGCAAATGGTCAGATTGACGCAAAATTTTGCACAAATTACTAAATTTAGTAGAGAATGATTGCAGAAATGTAGACCGACTACATATTTATTGGGTTTCTAATAATAACGAGTGTCCGATTCAGATTTTCTTTAAATCGATTTACATAATTTTGTCTCATTTTCTACCTATCAAAATGAAAATTTTAGTGTAGGTTTCAGAATGACTTGTTTATGGATTGTTCTAAGTCGGGTCACATTTAGGTATAGATCACATATTTATTATGGTCCTTCGAAAATGAGACGTCTGTTAGAATGCATCTGTTGAATATACCCAAAGTGGTCAGGGTATCATATAGTTGGCCCGTCCGACTTTTCCGTTTTCCTTACTGGTTTTCATATTGTTTTCTTGAACCATAAACTAAATACAACAAGACGAGATTTATTGATTCCCAAATATTTTCGCCGATACTTGCTCAAAAAATCTTACTTATATATGGTAGTTATATTTAAATCTGAACCGATTCCAACGAAACATAACAAACGTCATTCTAGACTCCGTACGTTGCGTTGTTCCAAATTTCTTCTCAATTCTTCTCAAGTGGACAAATATTGGGGTTTGGTGCAACAAAACTTCACGTGCGTTAATCTGCAATTATTCAAAACGTTGTGCAAACATTTTTGTGCACTATTCACCTCCAATCTGAAGAATATTTATATGGGAGCTATATCTAACTTTGAATCGATTTCACGTACGTCAATTAGTGTATTATTCTTATTCCAAGAGGAGTGGTTGTGCTTGGGAATTATATTTCCAGGGTCTATCTATTTTGATATGGGTTAGTATAACCATTACCACAGTAGAGGACTGCAATTTCGCGCTGATCGTTATGAAATTTTATATGAAGTTCCGGTTTTCGTCTAGGACCACACATATAGTTTTCGGTGATTATCATATGATATGTAAAGTATGAAATGAACCGTATATTGTATTGTATTTTAATTACAAATTTTTCATGGGGAAAGCGATCTGACCAATTATTTCGAATGGATGTCATGGTAATGGTCAGTCAAAATTTAGCGGTTTAAATAAAACAAAACTTTTTAAATAAAAATAAGGAAATATGAATCTCATGGAGTATTTTGTTTTCCTCCTAGAAAACATGATTCGAAAAAGAAGCCGCAGAGGAGCTGTTGACCTCTTTTCGGCCAAGAGTGTGGAAATATCGCGAAATATTACACAGGCTGGGAGTTGTGTATGGTATTATATGTCCGGCCCTGTATATTCATAATCAACGTAAAAATCTATGACAATTTAAACATGTCCGCCTGTCTGTTGTAATCCATCTAGCTTCTAAACAAATTGAGATAGTACTCCAATACTTTTGCATAGCGTTGTCTTTTGTCTGCAGCAGATTAAGTTCAGTGTATGTTCAGGCATAGCCCCTATAAAACGGTACCCAAGACTTTTGGTATTTTGGGATTTCTGAGCGCATTTTTCGACCGAATTCAAATTGGCTTCTTATTGGGTAGCAAATCTCCGCTAAAAATTATCAACATCGGTTCATTTTTCTTATCTATAGCCCCAATATAATGGTAGCCCAATTTTCGGTATTTTTGGGGTTTTTAAGCGTGTATTTTCGATTTTGTCACATTGGGTTCTTATTTTGTACCAAATCTCTTCACTTAACAATTTCAATATCGGTTCATAAATTTAATAGTTTGTATTCGTATTTGTTAATTTTTAGGGTGAAAAAAACTATCAAGATATAAAAATATAGGAAAATGAACTATATCGGATCATATTTAGTGATAGTCACCTGTTGTAATCACTCTAGCGTCTAAATGAATTGAGATAGAACGCCAAAATTTTGCATAAAGTCGTCTTTTGTCTGCAGGCAGGTCAAGTTCGAAGATGGGCTATATCGGTCCACCTCCCATATAAGGGACCCCCAAATTTTCAGTATTTTGGTGTTCTTGAGCGCGTTTTTCAACCAAATAACGGTACCTCCAAATTTTCAGTTTTGGAGGGGTTTTGACCGCATTTTTTCACCGAATTGGCAGTAATTTAGTACTTTGAGTTCTTATTGGGTATCAAATCTCTCCACAAAAAGTTATAAATATACGTCCATTTTTCGGGTAGCCTTCATACAATGGTACCCCCAATTTTCGGTATTTTGGGGTTCTTCAGCGCGTTTTTCAACCGAATTCGCTGAAATTTGGTACTTTGAGTTCTTATTGCGCAGCAAATCCCTCCACAAAAAATTATGAGTATAGGTAAATTTTTTATATACACTTTCTAAAAATTTTGTTTTTAGAATTTTATTTAATGGCATCAATTAACTAAAAAATAATTTCATCAGATTTCGTGGAATACGACCTTTTAAATTATTAATGAGGAAAATCTCATGGAAATAAAATTTAATACAAAATGTTAAAACTCAATCAAACTGAACAAACTATTTAATTTAATTTTTTCCATTAATTTAACTGCGACTTTTTCTTGGGAACCCCCATCATAAACATACGCACTTATTTACATACGTTTATCAAGCACTTTGTTTACAAACATCTCGATGTTGACTCGAGGTTTCGTCTGCCTCAGAATTTAGTGCGTCGTTCAAACATCACTCTTCATTCTGAGTACTGATTAAGATTGCGTCAAAATATATTTGGTCAATTTAGTCTTAATCTCTGTCAACCGCAGGGGTTTCCAAAACAAACACTTCATTAAAATTTTAAAATATTGATTGTAGAGTTTAGAGGTCAGTCATGACGACGATAAGAAGTACGCCATCTGTGATACGTTAAGTCATATTCAAGAGAATTTAATTTGTTTATTTTCTAAGGGCAATTTTTCGAAGCATATAAAAGCAGATGACAATTTGAGATTTAATATTATACTCTCAAACTTTAGCAAAACATTAAGTTCTTTAGAAAACGTGCAAATTAAATTCCAAATAAAATGGCAAAATTCTTTGTAAGTAAAAAAATTAAGGAATTAATTTAAATGGAATTTCCTTTAATAGTATTCTTGTTGTTTTGTTTTAGATGATTGTATGCTTTGCTCTAATTGCTTTTGCTGTGGCTGAACATGGCAATCGTGGTGGTTATGGCGGACAAAATGCTGGATTTGGTGGACAACAGGTCCATGGTCAACAAGGAGGTTATGGTGGCCATCAAGGTGGCGGTTTCGGTGGACAACAGGGCCATGGTAAACATGGTGGACAAAATGCAGGATTCGGCGGTCAACAAGGCGGTTTCGGTGGCCAACAGGGTCATGGTCAACATGGTGGCTTCGGAGGACAACAAGGTCATGGTCAACAAGGTGGTTTCGGTGGCCAACAGGGACATGGTCAACATGGTGGTCGTGGTCATCAAGGTGGTTATGGCAATCGTGGTTATTAACTTAAAACGTTCAATTGTGATAATAGACTGAAATTGTAGTGTGTAAATAAACTGATTTTAAATAGAAAACATAACTCGACATATAAACCTCTGGTGAAGACAAAACAGAATGATTGTTAATATAGTTTCACAACTTGGTAACTTGTAGGTTGCTTCACATGAGGCGAAGCCAAAGTGCTACATTTTAGACCCTTCGGAAAAAAATATTTCATAATTCTCTAATCGTTATAAATTCAACAAATATTTTTATTCATATTCCGTCGTATTAAAGTCTGGTATGATGCAAATTTTTCTTCAGCAGGTAATGTACTTATACCACAGGTGCATATGTTTGTAACCGCAAATGGAATCGAGATAGACCTATGGTTCCTTTTAAAAATATGAATAAAATCACTTTCTGAGTCTATTTATGCTTGAATTTTTGTGAACAAAGTACATGTGGCAATTTTGATCCGATTTGGATGGAATTTCGCACAGGTCACTTATTTGACTCAAGGACAACCCTATTGAAATTGTGGAAAATCGGTTCAAATTTAGATATAGCTCCCATATATATATTTTCATCCGATTTTATATAAATGGTGCGCCAAACTCCCAATATTGGTTCGATTGAGACAAAATTTTGCACAGACTACTGAATTAGGTCCTGATGGTACGCCAAATTCCCCTAAAAGGTACGGCAAACTCCAAAGGATTGTTCGAATGCGACATCATTTTACACACTGAAGTAAGTACAGATTGACGTCTGGGTTCGACCTTGGGCCAAATAAGTGACCTATGGCAAATTTCATGATAAATGCCTCTTGTACTCTGTTTAAAATTTAACAAAAATTTATAACACAATTTAGCGTAAGATATAAAGGTCCTTTAGTACACCATTTACCGATTTTCAGGAAACTTAACACACATCATTCTACACCGAATTCATTGCTCCGTGCCAAATTTCGTGAAAATCGAAAGATATATAGGGACTTTGGTGGACCATTTACATTAAATCGGACGAAAATATATACGGGAGCTATATCTAAATTTTAAACGATTTTCGGGAAACAACACACATCATTCTAGACCAAATTCATTACTCTGTGCCAAATTTCGTGCAACTCGAAAGATATATAGGGACTTTGGAGGACTATATCTAAATCTGAACCGATTTTCAGGAAACTTAACACACATCATTCTAGACCGAATTCATTACTCCGTGCCGAATTTCGTGCAAATCGAAAGATATAAAGGGACTTTGGTGCACCATTTACCTAAAATCGGACGAAAATATATATGGGAGCTATATCTAAATCTGAACCGATTACCAGGAAACTTAAGACACATCATTCTAGACCGAATTCATTACTCTGTGCCAAATTTCGTGCAAATCGAAAGATAATTTTGTGGACCATTTACATTAAATCGGACGGAAATATATATGGGAGATATATCCAAATCTGAACCGATTTTCAGGAAACTTTGCACACATCATTCTATACCTAATTCATTACGCTGTGCCAAATTTCGTGCAAATCGAAAGATATATAGGGACTTTGGTGGACCATTTACATTAAATCGGACCGAAATATATATGGGAGATATATCCAAATCTGAACCGATATTCAGGAAACTTAGCACACATCATTCTATACCTAATTCATTACGCTGTGCCGAATTTTGTGCAAATCGAAAGATATAAAGGTACCATTTACCTAAAATCGGACGAAAATATATGTGGGAGCTATATCTAAATCTGATCCGATTTTTCCCAATTTCAATAGGGTTCTTCCTTGGGCCAAATGAGTGACCTGTGCCAAATTTCATCCAAATCGGATCATAAATGCAACCTGTACTTTGTTCACAAAAATACATGAACGGACGGACAGACGGACGGACGAACATGCGTAAATCGACTCAGAAAGTGATTCTTTGCATAATCTCAAAAGGAACCATGTGTCTATCTCGTTCCTTTTTCCTGTTACAAACATATGCACAAAGACATAATACCCTGTACCGCAGTGTGGTGAAGGGTATAAATATGCACACAGATGTAATGCCCTGTACCACAGTGTGATGAAGTCTGTAAACATTATTTGGATGTGAGGTTTTTATAGAATCCGCTAATCATTAAGATTTTATGTAAAAACCTAACAAATTATGATACTAGGATACGACTTTGCATAAAAGTCATAACCATAACGTTCAAATGTTATATGTATCATTTTACGTCACCCAACTCGTTCCAAACATATACCCAACTCGTTCCAAACACATTTAGAATATCAAAGTGTTGCTAAGAAAATATTACCTTATGTGTTCATATTGCATATTTAATTGTTTTACTTTCCCGCAATTACATTAGAAGCATCTTAAGTAATTATTCACGTACATACATACAGTATGTATGTAGGTGTACGTGTGTAGCCATATCATCTTATGTGCTGGTGGATGAAAGCTATAACTAAAGCATGTGGAATAATTAGCATTATACTCCTCTTGTTGCATTTGCAATTTTAACAGTGGTTGTGGGGAGTATTCCTAATTGGGAAAACTAAACCCAAACAAATAAGAAAGATCAAATGTTAGATACCCTGCACCTACACCCTTAACAGCAGTAATTTCGATCGCTTGAAACTATTAACATTGTGCATACACAACATCTATTATCGAACTGTAGCCTTATTATTGGGCTACTTTATTTGGAAAATTCACCAAGGACCTTAGAATCTAAATGACATACAGTAGAGCGGGACATGTATGTGGGAAATTTGGAAAATGCGCTTAATACCATTAAAATGCCTATAATGGGTCGAGAGCTTTATTCGATCATGCCGAATACTAAAATTTAAACCTTTGATATAGTGCAATAATTAATGTACCCATCAATAGCATATAAGGACCTTGATATGAACAGGGAGGCAGACTGGTTGCCGGTTGGGCAACCATCAACCATCGAAAACAAAAAAGCCAAATACAAAAGAATTCTACTGCTAATCGTATTCAAAATTAGTCGATAAAGGCAATTTGGTAAATGGAGCAAATAATTTGGTTATGAAAAAGATTTCGAACGTTTGCAGCTCCCATCATATCAGGCAGAGCCCAATGGATGCTATTGATGCAAATGAACAGCCAGCCAGCTAATTATGCAGCTATAATTGAATCTCACTATACCACATTTATGAATGAAAGGTGAAAATTACTTTCGGTGTGTGTGTGTTTGCTCATGTTTGTTTTTCATTTCACCAAAAAGCAAATAAAAAACTTTATATTTGGGTTTTTTTTTCTCTCTCCCATGTGCATAGAAAACTTCGATATACTCGTATATAGATATATAAATGATTTATGATGTGAATATGAGACTCAGCTTCGTTTGCATATTAACACGAAAAGCAATGATGATGAAAATGAGGATGAAACATTTCACATTCTACCAACACATACATATATTTCCCTCTGTATGCCATTCAGCACCTAATTGAATGTGTGCTTGGGGAAAACTATTATTCAAATAGATTCATTGCTATATGAGAACATTTAATTATAATTATAGTTAGGTGTTGAAATAACATTGTTTTGTTGTACATTTGTGTTGTTTTAATACACAATGTTTTTTTGGAAAACTAATATTCTTTGTATTTATTTTAAATACAATTTTTAATATTAGTTTTTGAAAACTAATATTCTTTGTATTTATTTAAAATACAAGTTTTAATTGGAGCAGTGTTATTATTAAGTTTTAAATTATGAAAGTTTTGTGGTAGAGTATGAATACAAATTGGAATAAAATAGAGCCAGAGGTGTTAGTTATGAAATTCCTTATACGGATTTCGAACATTTGAAAAACGTTCATTATAAGCGTTAGGCAGTGATGGGCATACTTATATACCGAATTCAGATTTGACAAATAAATCTTTTAACAATGGTGGCAGCGAGTTGATGTTTGTCTTTGAACACATTTTGCGTAATTATATATTTTTAAGGTGTCATTTATGTAATTTGGCATACTTCTTGCGTTATAATATTTGTCAATTTCTTTATATCGGTCCAATACGCTACGATTCTTCAATTATGTTTCACATTTCACCATTGAATTAGTTTTCATCAGCACCAATTCTTACCGTTGAATTGAAAACGGTGGAATTTGGATTCGCCGGACTCGATCAAACGTTTCCAGTTGATTTAAGGGAACTACCACTCCAAAGAAAAGTCCTTATTTTTGATGGCGGGCATGATAACTCCCCACTGGAACATCGGAATCCGAAAATTCCAACAGTGTTAGAAAGATCACATGTCTGTCTCTCGTATGAACTGGGATTATTGACTTCGCTCTAAATTAACAAAAATGGCAGATCTTTGAAAAAATATTTTTGGAAAATCGCCGATTTTTTACCAAAAACCAAGTTAAACAAGTGAAAAAGTGTTAAGTTCGGCCGGGCCGAACTTTGGATACCCTCCACCATAGATATACTGACAGGTACTTGAAATGAAAATATGGGGAAAATACCAAAAAGTGGACCTATATCGGCATTTCCACAAACCGGTTATGTAAACCACAATGTAAACTATAAAACAAATTTCAGAATTTTTTATGGACAATTATACCCTCAGCTTTATGGATAATGAGGGTGTATACACTTTCACACGGTTAAAATGGTTATAGACCCCATGTTTCTTTGGACCAAATTTGTTCCAGAAAATTTTGATTTCATCCAAACTTTGGCCATCTTATTATTTCTTCCAAACTTAGTTCAAGTTCGAAGATGGGGAATATCGGTCCACTCCTTCTGGTACCTCCCACACAGGGGCTAGGTCTAAATACGGGTTATAGTTCATATATAGTTCATTATCGAACCTTACGTTCTAGTTTTTATCTCGATATCCTCCGCAGGTGATATGATTACAACAGAGTCTTAGAACCAAACCCAAAACTCGGAACACATTACATTAATATTTTAATATAAACCAGTAAGGAAAGTAGTAAAGTCGGACGGGGCCGACTATATGATACCCTTCAC